AATTCAAATTAAATCTAAATCTGAAGGTATTGATGTGTATGTGTTGGCCTGTATCGTGGTGTTTTACTAATAGTCTTTTGTTTGAAACACAGTAGAAATAATATAATGTCAGGTTTGAATTTACTCTAAATTGCAGTGAATGTCTCCAAGAATTTTACGTTTTATTAGTACTTTGTACAATTATTATTATTAGTACTCAATATTACAATTGAATCTGATTGATCTGAAAGCACGAATGGTCTTTATTTCAGTGACGAGATTATACAGTCAAACCCGGTTATCTCGATAACGTGGGGAAGGATGGTAAAAAATCGTCAACATAACCGGGTTCCGAAATCTCGGGATTTTGTTGATTAATTTACTGCAGAAAAATGATTATACATCTGAAGTAACAAAAAATGATGATTTGTATTTCAACAAACAAAAAGGCATTTCTAATGCAAAAATAAAAATATTAATTCAATCATGCCTGGTTTGAGTAAAAAGAAGACGGGAGGTCTTTTAAATGAGATTAAATAATAAGTAACACCATGCCTGGTTGGAGTAAAAAGAAGACTGGAGGTCTTTTAAATGAAATTAAGTAACAAGTCAGATATGTTTACAATAATAAGTTACTGCGACAATGTCAGTGGTTTAAAGTTGTTTTTATTTCCCTGAGAATAGTCTTGTCCCTTTGGTAGCCTCCACAAGACAACGATTTTCTCACGCTATCCAAAATCTATGCCAATTTAAGTACATGTACATGTTGGATGATACTTACTAGTTTTGTTGAAAGTGTTTTCTTTTGTTAGAGTTCACTTCTAACTAGCAGTAATATGTAACTAACCAATATCGTGCGTGAAAATCGAACTTTTTCTTTTGATCGTCAGAGGTTACTTTGCACCAGTATATGCCGGTTTTCACTAATAAAGTTTGCTTCTGTACCGGATAAAGACGGGGCTGTCGGTATTCATGTACTAACAAAACTGTAAAATATGTTTCAAGTCCTTAAAATTGACTGTCTAAACATCAAATTCTTTATGAAGCCAACTTATTCCATTCATGAATTTAGAAGACAACATATTCCATTCATACAGTTGTATTCATATAACCCTTCCAGCTTTGATCAGTGATCGTTGGCAGGAACACAGCACCAGAAGGAATGTGGGATAATCTCATTGATGGATTGCAAGACTTTGAAATTCAGGATGAAAACAACACAACTCTTCTTTCTGTTTCAAATTTGTTACTCTTAGTCCACATTCTGCATCATTCGTTTGTATTGAAGAATATGTAATCATGGTACAGCGATCGCCATTTTCATAAAATAATTTACTGGGAGCTATAGACGTTGTTTTTTAACAATACCTTTGGTGGCTTTATTTACTCTTGCTCAAACGAAATAACTATCCAATGGGAAGCTTAGTTTGGAGATTTGCGGGTTTTTACTTATAGATTATTGTGAATCACGTGATCTAGCCATGCTGACGTTGAAGGCTTATGCTTACACCAAGTTTGAAAATGCTTTAATTATTACCAAATTAAGTTTAAATATATTGTGTAAAGAAAAATTAAATATTTTAGCTGCATTTAATGATGTTAACCTGATAATTTTCCGAGTTATAGATAAGACCAAATTAGCGATGCTATGTTGGACGAACTATATTACGTGGTGACGACATGAGATAATGTCCATTTTGAACGCAGCTTATGTAAAGGTTAGAAAGGCGTGCATACAGGTTACATACGTGATAATTTTCTCCACTCAGTGTAAGTGATAAACCATGGATTGATGAGATTGGTTGATTAGTGTTTGTACCGAATTTTGCTATATTTGCCAGTACAAGATAACGATAATAATGAAAACGCCTGATCATTTCTTGTAAATATGTCTCTGAGATGGACATTACAAAATGCAGTTATTCGAATTAAGCGGGTTCACATGCCCAACATAACTGGGTTATTGACTTAACAGTTGTCGAGATAAGTGGGTAAATATTAGCATAACAAAGGATTTGTTTTAAGGACCGGACCAAAGTGCTCTATATCCACGGGTTATTGAGCAACCGAGGTCGAGATAAGTGGGTTTGACTGAACAGACTTCTACTTTACATAAGGTCACAATTAGCAGTTTCTAATGAAAATTCTTACCTAATGGAAAATTACAATCTGGAAGGTCTAAATATTTACAAGATAAAATGTTAGTGTCAGTTAGAAACACTTTTACTAAAAGTATAATAAAGAACCTGGAATATATCAAGCACGACAGGGAAATCCCAGTAAATCTAGAACAAACAAAAATGAACATGTTTGCGTTTATTAATAATAATCTTAATATTAAACCCATACATGTAGAGAATATTTTCACTATGTATTAGATAGATTTTGTAAAAGCATGATCTTAGTGAAATAAAAGAAAACAAAAATTGATTTTGGACAAGGTTAAGTCCATATATGAAAATATATAAGGTAATATTATGTTCTTTAAGCCTGTACTTGCAGTTGAAATATATGAGTTTAAGAGTGCTCTTCACTGTATCTTTGTGTCTACATTCATTGGGTAATTTGTTCCACGTTGCTAGGCCCTAGGATTCAAAAGAATGTTCTCCATATGACTTCATTTTCTAAGTGAGAATAATGAGAATACGATTGTCATAAGAGGATCGTAAGCATCTTGCTGTTATTTACACATGAGCGAGGTCGGATAGTTATGCTGGCCTGGAGCCCGTCAGTGAAACATAGAACAGAGGACAAATTTTGTGCTTGATATTGAATCAAAGTGATAGCCAGTGTACGAAACAGAGCAGGGGGACATGTGTTCTGATAGGGGTACTCAAGGGATGGTCCAAGCATCTCGGCTTTTAAACTTTTGAGGTTACTGGAGTAGATATTGAGAGGAACCAGACAGTATTGAGTTACAAAAGTCCAGTCTAGAAAGTGCTAAGGAAGACACAAGGTCTGTAGTGGCATCAGCTGAAAGATAATTGCAAATGGTGCTAGTGTGTCTCAGCTCAAGATATGCAATATTGCATATGTTCGTGACATGTTGGTGCAATGAGAGAGTACACTGAATTACGGTCGCTGTCACTTAAAAGTAGCTGATTGTACATAATGAAGAGAACAGTCCTCAACAGATCGCTGTCGAACACCACAACATAGATCAACTAGGGTAGAGTGCATTCCATTTTCGGACACAATTTGTGTCCCGTTGACCCAGTAGGACTTGAACCATAGTAAGACTGTATCATGAATGCCAGAAAAATGCTGTAGACGGTGATGTAATTTATCACGGCGTACTGTGTCAAATGCTGAAGACACGTCAAGGAGGGTGAGGACTTTAATTTTTCCGCTGTCCAAAGGACAGAGTAGGTCATTAACTGCTTTCAGAAGAGTAGTTTCAGTACTGAGGCAAGAGCGAGATGCAGACTGTACATTACTAAAATGACTGTCTGAATTCAGATGAGGTACAAGTTGGGATAGAATACCTTTTTCTAAGATTTTTGACATGAATGTGAGATTAGAATTTTTTTTAAATTGTTATGGCTGAGTGTTGGTTTCTTCAGCAGAAATATATATATATATATATATATATATATATATATATATATATATATATATATATATATATATAAGTATTGGTATAAAGCAGATTGATATATCATACTATTGGTACTGATTCTAGATCAATGGTGAATTTCCACAAAAGAACTCCATTTAAAACTGAAGTGAGCGAGAAACAGAATTTGTGGTTATTTCAATAATATGATTTTAATAATGGTATGTGTACACTTTCCTTTTGGGATTAATCTAGTGTTTATATAATCAATGCTACAAAACTGCAAATCATGTCGACATTATATGGTAAATTTCTCAGTTACCTAGTACACATTCCGTGATATAGCTTATATTTTGTTTTTGTTTTTTTGTCTTAAACCTATTATAATGTTCTAAAAAACGTATTAACTAAACATGAAAATGTCCAAAAGTCGCCCCCTCTCTCTCTTTTCTCTCTCTTTCTCAAAATCTATGGACATAATAGTATAGAGGAGTTTCGCTTGTACCTTCCTAGGTTAACTCTGGATATATAAATGATAGTGAAAGTTACGACAAATCGATCAAACGATGAGAGAGAGAGAGAGAGAGAGAGAGAGAGAGAGAGAGAGAGAGAGAGAGAGAGAGAGAGAGAGAGAGAGAGAGAGAGAGAGAGAGAGAGAGAGAGAGATTTGTGATCGGTAGTACTGCTATTGAAGTAGAATAATGACTTATATCAACTGTAAATATATCATTATATTTAAATTACCTCTTGCTGGTTGGGTTAGTTTCTATTCCTCATTAATATCCATGCACTGGTACGTGAATGGCTTAGCGTTCATGTGAATGGTGTAGCTAACCAAGTGCTGCTAGTGCTCTACTTTCTTCATTGACACCATCTTTCATGCTTAATCAAAACTGTGTATTATATATTGATTTAATCGATGTTAACAAAAATAGAAATTAATCAACTTATTAATATGCAAAGGTGATTGTGAATAGCCACAAAAGGCACATAACTATTATTAATACGCGGACACACGTGGATGTGAGGAGTTCAGTCACTCAGTCAACACAAAGCTGCCTGTAGAAAATTTTAACTCCATTCATATGGCGAATTATATTTATTTGTATCTTATATAAATAAAATATGTATAGCATTTTTGTTGTAATAGTATCAATGATATGCCACTCGTTGTATAAATATTACATTAAAAGGAAACTCAAAAAGCCTAGTTTCCTTTAAAGATGTGATGTGATTATGATTTTGAACGTAGTTTTGACAATTTTTCAGTCATATCGCTACGACGTTTGCAGTGTGGCAGTTTATAGTGATGTCTAGCACTGGGGCATCATGCTGCATACATATAGCATGATGTCCCACCCAGTTACATTATCCTGATACCAGGCCGAACAGTCCTAACACTAACCTCTTAATGCTGAGCGCCAAGCGAGGGAACTGTTAGTACCATTTTTCTAAGTCTTTGGTATGACTCGACCGGGGACCGAACCCACGATCTGCCGCTTTCGAGGCGGACGCTCTAACGACTAGGCCACCGGAGTGTTTTCTTTAAATGAAAAATGTATACAGCTCGTGGTGTATCATCAATACAGTTTGCATAACATATATATATATATATATATATATATATATATATATATATATATATATATATATATATATATATATATAAAGAGAGAGAGACATACATACGTACGTACGTGCGTGCGGGTTTGCGTGCATGCATGCATGCATGCATACCTACCTACCTACCTACCTACCTACCTACCTACCTACCTACCTACCTACCTACCTACCTACCTACATACATACATACATACATACATACATACATACATACATACATACATACATACATACATACATACATACATACATACATACATACATACAGTGCAAATTCATGGAACGGAGTTTTATCATGAATTCGAAATCTGTTAGTTTTATTTTGATCCAGTTCCATAGGAAATTCATTGATGACTTTACTTAGTAAAACTTAAACCGAAATTACTCAGGTAAGAAGTAGAGGTAACATAAAGGTTGAATTCGTCTACTTCTAAACGTCACTTCCGATTGGTTTACATACAGAAAATATATTAGCCAATTCATTGATCAAAAAGTTTATTAGTTTGGGTAGTATATTGGCTTTATTAAATGATACTCAATCTCGCTGGACGATGCTAGTATATTGTAGACTATAGTGTAACGTAATCTGTCAATTTGCTTCCATGAAAATGCGATATTTGTTTTCCATTTATTGTATCCTTATTAATTTCTATTACACGGTTGATTTCAGGAAACACAAACTGCCTTGGTGTACAGAAATAGATTGTTTTATGCCATGCGAGATCCCCAACATCCATTCATCATCCGAGGATACAATTGGACTGTGGATGTAGAGTGTGACGTCATGAGAAATGAGACTGTATCTAATCATATTAGTCATAACACACAAAGGCCATTAGACTCTGGACACATTCAGGGAACCAGTCACTACAATGTCACCTTGCGATTTTACACTGATCCCAACTTCCAGTATGAGATACCCGGAAATCCGCTGCATGTAAAAGTTGGTGATGATGTATATGTAAAGGCATACACAGATACAGCTGACTGGGCTGTCAAAATGGCTGTCCACACCTGTTACACCAAACCCGATTCTTATGCATCTGACAATATGAAATATTATCTCATAAAGGACGGGTAAATTTAGAAAATTTCAAAGTTGTATATTTAAATGATACAATTTTCAAAGCAGACTTTTTCTTTCATCAAATATTTTACAAATACTTCTTTATTTGTGATATTAATAGAATAAGATCTAATATGAAAACTACCCTGCATAATTATTCGTCTACAGAGACCCAAGTAGGCATGATATTACACTCGTGGCTGTAATCTACAAAAAGACCAAATGGTTTAGCAGTTGGCCAAAATTGAAGATTTAATGGATGATATCTCTCAAATTTTCTTCAGCTTCAATTAATTGGTTATGAAAAAAAGATTGAAAGGTTTTTATACTATCATCGGTTATACGTAATGTCAGATAAGCGTTATCTGTAATATAATTTAAATAGATTCCAACAAGGATGCTTTCTGCCAAATTCAATTAAGTTATAGTGAGAGGTTTGAAAGCAAGTCATTTAAAAGTGTTTTCTTAATATTGTTTTGTTTTCGATATTATGCAGGTATGCAGCATTTATAAAAATTGGAGAAAACTTAAAACATTTATATTTGCATTTCAAAGTTCTTGAATTCTCTCTGGTAGATTCAATAATGGCAAATTTGTTGGATATCAAACGGGAATCGCTTGTGTGAAGTTGAAATTTATTTCCTACAATACTTCTTTCAAATTTGATGAATGTCTAGTTGATTGTTCCTGTACATAAATTATTTTTAAATTTTCAAACAGCAGTTCTATTTTAGTTCATATTGGCATCAGATTCAAGCACTTGAATGGTATTTATCCCACAACGTTTTCTATTATATTTATCCATTTTCAGTACTTGTTGCCATATTTGACGATGGTTAGTCCTGATTGGCACACGATTAAAAATCATTGTTACATATGGTGTATTATTTTCTTTAGAAAAAACTGAAAATAGCAGATGTTGACGGACTATATACGACCGACGCAGGAATTAACCATACTAATGGCAGCGCAATAGAACAAAAAATTTGCAAAATGATTGGACTTAATCATAATTCAACCAATCAGCAGATCGTGATGAAACTGATTTCTTTATTTCTATGGTAACTATGTCATTTTCTTTTGGACAAAGAAGATGACTCGTGAATTTCTGTGATAATATATATTATGCAATATTTTCTTTATTTCGCCTTGTGATTTTACTGTGATCCCAGCTTAACTGTAAATTAATTATACGTTATGGGAGTTAACAGCATATTTTTGTTTCTTTCAGCTGTGAAACAGACGTAAATACGCATTATATTTCTCAATCAACTCACGAGACAAAGTTTATGTTTCGAGATTTTGAATATACATCCAACCATGAAGGTCTCTTCATTTACTGCGATTCCACGTTTTGCGAGACTTCCGACTATTCGAATCAATGTCAGCAGTCTTGTAACCCAATAGGGAAGAGGAGCGCCGAATCAAGACCCAGACTGACGGAAACCGTGCAGGAGAGGATCATTCATGATCACAAATAGAATGGCCACATAAACGCATTCTCTTGTTTCAACGTTTGGAGAAAGATAAGAAGTTGATGATCGGTCATGTATATTACCAAATTATTGAATGTTGACACTAAATATGAATGAAATAGACGTATTAATTACGTATCTTATCAATCTGGATATTATTGTTTATATTTGTTGATAGGTTTAACTTGCAATCTTTGATAGATACATTGTTTTTGTATACACGTATGTTACACATTATAGGTTGAGAAAACCCAAAGACATTTATTTTGATTCTTGAAAATAAAATTTCCCTCCAACACTAACATTAACCCCACCCCGTTAAAAATTAATACAAATTTGAGACCATGAACATTAAGGCTATTAATACTGAGTTGCTGATTTGATTGAATTTTAATCTAATTTTAGATCGATTGTTGCGGCTAATAAATTGTTTACGGTTATCATTTTAGTTTCTACCTAAATAACAAATAAATACATAAATTTTATTTCTATTTCAAAACCATTAATTTTAATTTAGTTGATAAAAGTGCATCATGCATCTAAATGCCTTCGAACTAGTGCTTAACTAATATAAGAAATTTGCTTAAAACAGATTCATTGGGTATTTATAGACAGATCGATTGGTTATTTATAGACATATTGATTGGGTATCTATAGACAAATTGATTGTGTATTTATAGACTTATTGATTGGATATGTATAGACAGATTGATTGGGTGTTTATAGACAGATTGATTGGGTATTTAGAGACATATTAATTGGATATGTATAGACTGATTGATTTGGTGTTTATAGACAGATTGATTGGGTATTTATTGCCTGATTGGGTACCTTTAAACATATTGATTGGGTATTATAAACAGATGTATTGGGTATTTATAAACTGATTGATTCGGTATTTATAGACAGATTGATTGTGTATTTATAATCAGATTGATTGGGTATGATAGAGAGATTGATTCGGTATTTATAGACAGATTGATTGGGTATTTATATACAGATTTATAGGTATTTATAGACAGATTGATTGGGTATTATGGACAGATTACTTGGTGCTGACATTTGCTCTCTGATTGTAGATATGAGCAGACCTCTGTTTTGATATACAAATTTGTCCTCATGCCTCTAGATGCTAAATCCTTTGTTTGAAAACCCTGTCTTTAATCAGAAGATTTTAACTCAAGAGAATCTATTCATGTTTCGTGTAAAATGAGGAAACACAATATTAAAATCAAGTGTGATTATCCAAAATGGAAAAAAATCCGAAAATCTACGACATGTACTTAAGTACAGGGTAGCTGAGCAGTACTCTTGTGAATAAGGTATTGTTTAGAAAAACTTATTCGACCATAAATTCTGTGGACATTTATTTGTTCAGTTATGAAAGCCACTTCTTTAATATAACAGTATTTCTAAAGGCTTACATTGAGTTTGCGCATAAACGTAAATTAAAGAAACAAGGTACAATTAAAAATGAAATTTCTTACAAATTACTCTGCTTTCTAAAACGAGTCCTAGAGGCATTAGGCAAACATTTGTTACCTCCCTTTGTACTCTTGTTATTTATTATGTTTTAAAACATGTTCGTATTTTACTTAAACTCTAACACTTAAAAGAGAAATACCTAATGAAAAATAAATGTTCTTAATATTTTTTTTATATAATTCAATTCAATATTTTCCAAAGCAAATTGTTAAAAATTATTCTCGAGTGGTATAATGTACTTTAAATGTATCATTTCGTGCTTTGCTTTTAGGGGGTATCATCAATCAATTATTTCCTTATTAATAAATTTGTATTGGTGGTTTCGTATACTTAAGTTCTTGTCATCAAATTAGCAATACTATGTATGAACGATTGCTTTCATCCAGACCAACATTCCAACATTACTCTAGCAAAACTAGGGTACTATTAGTGTGGTTATCATAATCAAAAAATTAGCAATACAATCCGTGAACAATTGCTTTCTTCCTGAGCGACATGCCGGTATTTTTGTGGTACAAAGATGGTATTATTAGTGGTGTTATTATTCTGGTAGTGGGGTTATTATTCTGTAAGCGAATTATTTTTTAGTCAGTGGGATTATTATTCTTTCAGGTTATTATTATTTTGTCAGTAGGGTTATTATTCGGTCAGTGAGATTATTATTGTATCAGTGGGGTTATTATTCGGTCAGTGAGATTGTTATTGTATCAGTGGGGTTATTATTCTGTCGGTGGAGTTATACTGTAAGTAGGGTTATTATTTTGTTAGTATGAGTTATTATTCTGGTATTGCAATTGTTGTTCTATCAATAGAGTTATTATTCTGTAAGGGGATTATTATTCTGTCAGTGAGGTTATTATTCTGTCGGTGGAGTTATACTGTAAGTAGGG